GGGATTTTAGCAATTTTTAGCTCCAACAGTTGGAATATCTTGTATGTTATAATAGAGAAAAAAGATGAGAGAGATTGTAAAAATCTCTGAATAGAGATAACAATTAAGTGTATTGAATTTAAATGTTTAGGAGAGAAAAATAATATTTTATTAAATGTATTGAAATTAAATGTTTAGAAGAAAGAATTAATATTTTATTAAATGTATTGAATATTTTAATAATATAGTTAATGTTAAAATTGCTAAAATAGAGTAACTGTTTCAGTTGAATGTAAACTGTTTATTGATTTTGACTTTTAATACTCTATTTTAGAAAATGTAACATAGTTATTAGAGATGTTTTAACAAATCTCACTTTATATCAATTTTAAGGTAAGAACAACTAAGGTTCTTATACAAGAACTCAAAAGATATGAGTTTTTTTTTTATAAATAAAAAAAATTCTTTTCAGTGATAGTTTTTATAAAAACCAACATATTTTGCTAATAAGAATCTTTTATTGGAGATACTATAATTACATATTTTTAGAAGTTATATATTTTTTTACCGTAGACATTTATTTTAAAACGGAAAGAGTATAGAATGGTAAGAAGACATGGTTATTTAACAAGACTAATGGTCGTATGAGAATAAGAGTTTAGGTGAGAAGCATAAAAACTGAATGTAAACCCTTGATCAACTTTATCTCAAACTAATCTATGAATTATGTTTGATACAAAAATTGATTCGATGCATCTTATCTTAATATGAAGGGACGTTCCAATCTTTTTGGAGACCTAGATACATTCAAAACTTTTGATTACATTGTATAAATATGATAACAGAGAATATATATTAAGAATAAAAATAGGCTAAACCTTAAACCTAAAATGATTAACAATTTGAAACTAAACCTAAACCATTAACACTTTGAATATAAAACCAAACAATTAATAGTTTGAACCTAAATAACTTCGACTCAAGTTTTACATAAGTCAATAAAAAGACCTAAACACATGCAAATTTAAGTCTCAAAATTTCAAAAGTCTCTTTTCAAAATTTTACATTTAACATATTAAGAAACGATCATGTTAATATGCATCAAAGATAAAGTTCTATCATTACGTTTATCACAGTTTAACTTTTTTTCTTATGAAACATCCAACGTTATATTACGGAACAAGAGATATAATTATGTCGGAAGTTATAGGTAGGATAGGATAGAGTAGGGATGACGTAAGCAAAGGAAGACAGAATGGTGATCCATCGCCGTCGGGTCATTTATTGTGAGACGACAAGATTGATTGGGGTGCGCGTGACGGAAGAACATCCCCAGGATGTTGTCGTCTTTGCCACGTGGCACTACCCTTCTCCTGTTTATTGCACACGTGACCCTAACCCATTTTTCCACTTCTTTCAGTTTCTACAACAAATATTTTCCTTTATTTATCAATCTATTTTTCTTTTTCCAAATAAGTAATCATATTTTAATTAGAAAAATTCACTCAAATATCTATTTCATTCATTTAAATCGATTTTCTAACCATTCTTATGTGATTGCTTAAATGTCACTATACTCATAATTGCACCAGCCAGGTCCGTAATAACGATGGTTAGGTCCGCAATTGCAACGACGTCACTTGCTAACTTGGTGAAATTTGATTTTTTTTTGTTTTTTAGGTCGGTCGACAATATTGCGGATGCGAATATTGCAGACGTATTTAACATTTGGGTGAACGCATGAGATGAATAACTAGGAGACCAATTTACTTTTGAAATTAGGTTTACTAAAACAAAAAACTAAACGTTTTATTTTTAACAATTTGTGTTTTTCAAGGAAAAAAAACCATAATTTTGTGAAATAAACGTGCAACACATAAACAAATTGGGAAAATCCCCACTTTTATTAACACTAACTCAATTTGTTCGACGTTACTTTGAAATTTCAACTAACGTTATCTGTTTTATTCAAATAAATTTAGTTTTCACAATAAATAAAAATAAGACACTTGTTTGTTGAAAATGGCAACATATCCATCACAAGAAGGAAACAATGTCCATATATGAGATCTTAATTAATATTAATTTGACCATCACTTTTGGTTACTTTTATTAAACAATGGTTTCCTTCTCTTAACATAAAGATATCCATGAGTTAATTAGAAGAAAAATAATGTAATTAAAGAAATATATAGTTAAATATGTCAAAAGCTTATATAGGTATAAATTTATATGCATGAAGTACAAGACCCATATGCATACAAGGCCATTGATGCCATATATTCTACTATTTTGAGAGTTGAACAAAGGAGGAAGGCCATGTGTTATTGGCAAGAATAATGGAGGCAAACTTGCCCTACAAAACATATATATATATATATATATATATACACACATATATATACACACATTGCTTCAAACTTAAACTAATGCAATGTCTCCTCTTTTGGTGTTTGTAATAAAACACCCTTTTTAATGAACTTACAAGTTGATTCATCTTTAAAAAATAGGTTGATTATTATTTTCAATTAGTTACATATTATAACAGTGAACAAAATATTGTAAATTTTTTATTAGAGAGAAGACAGTTAAGACAAAGAGTAAAAAACCAATACTTGTGAGGCATACAAATCTCTTGGACATGAGCTTGACGATATACCAAGGAACTCATACTGTTATCTCCCGCCAAAAGAATCTGCTCTAGAATTTTAGGTAGCTCACTGATTCCATATCTGTATTCACCTTGGTTATATTTCCTCATTTGATGTGTTCAAATCCTACCAAGTGTGTCGGGATTTGAAAGCTTCCTGAAGTCTACCCAAATAAGTTTATTTATGTGCCTTAATTCCTCTAGTAACTAAAATAATGAACAACACTATTATTAATAAAATGATAAATACAACTCTGTTTCTTTCCAAAACCTGTCCCCTCTGGATTGGAAATCTCGTGCACAAGTTATCCATCATGCACATCACTGATTCTCATTGTTCAACATCTTGTTTAGGGACCACAAACCACTGACATCGTCCTATATAAATTTCACTTTTGATTTCCATTTAAGAATATAGTTATGACGATGTAGAGATCATTAAAGGACTGATGCATTGAACACAAGTTTTATTGGTGTGATACACATAACACAAAATACTCATTTAAGAACAATATCTCTTACATTTTTGTGCATATCTTATGGCAACTAACCTTTCCTCGTAAGGTAGCATAGTACGTGCGACATAATTATACTCATTTTCGGAATAGCTATTTCAACCACATAAGTTTAGAATCTTGAGACACACAATATCGATTACATTCCACCTGTTATCTCGCTATCATAAAAAAGCATTTGTAGATGACATGACCGTCTTCAGTCACCTTCAAAATCTGTTACTTTCTTTTTATTCCTCATACACTGAAAGCTTATAGTTTCGGATCTTTACGTTTTCAATTTCCCACTTTGGTATTCTTGAGTTTTATTCGGTTATTTTACTACCAAATTTTCCATCCTCGTATAATCGTACAATCTCCTTCTAACTTGGGCTCCTTCTGCTAGATAACGGTTGTTTGATTGTTGATATTAAAAACTTCAGATATGGCTTTTTTTGAAAATTTATTTTTTTAATTGTGTTTGGTTGTTTAGAAGCAATGAGTGGAAGTGATGCAATGGTTGCCCAACCACTAATATGCACTTTCTCCAAACAAGATTCTTCACTGTCTTATAAAAACCCCACCTTCACACCCCATTCCAAGATCATTCCAATCCTACACACTAACCATTTCTATTCAATTATTAAAAAAAACAAAAAGTTCCCATGAAATATGATTTTATTATAGATTTGATTCCTAGTTAGTGAAGTTTTTGATTAATTAATCATAAATATTATAATGTTTTTTACAAGACATAATTAATTGAAAAAAATCACCAATAACTTTGCAAATGCTAATGAATTGAGGGAATATATAATTTGGGGAATTTATTTTTAAATTTAAGATATGATAATAGAAGGAAATATATCAAAATTGATATTTTTCATATTCATATGGAAACATCCTAATCAAGCGGTTTTCAACTGTAGATTTTCTATTTACAGGTATTCAAAAAAAGAGTTTACGACTGGATTTTGAGAACAATTCAGAAAGGTTGCCTTTCACGGGGGTTGTGTCTAACGACGTCATTTTTGGCATCCCCTGTTGTGCTGTGAGTTCTGGTATTGTGGGTCTTTTGGTTTGGGTATCGGGTGTTACTGTTGTAGCTCTCTCGTTTTAGCCTTCTTCAGGCTTGTTTGTTTCAGGTTGGTTCAACTTACATAAACTCTTTCCTTTTCTGTATTTTTCTTTGGGTTTTAATAAATTGGTTTGCCTTTCAAAAAAAACTGATCTATATTTAAATGACTTGTGATTAACAAGAACTTAAGGTTAATGATCCCCATTTACTTGTTCTACTAACGAGTGTTATTTTGGATAACATGTTTTCAACTAATATATCTAGGACCTTATAGTTAAAATGATGTTTATTTATAAGTTTATACTTTGAAAAAGATTTAGTTTAAAGAACATACTTAAAAAATAAGTCTTAATTCATTAATGCATATCAAGATTGTGTATTGAATTAAACATTTTTACGTCATAAACCCTTGAACGAGACTTTTAAAAGATGATTCCTCAAGAATGTTGTATTTCGATACATTCTGCATTTTATATTTACATTTTTGATATAAAATACATATTTCGTTACAAAATAAATGTTTATAATGAAAGAAGACACTTTGAAATAGAAGCTAGACATTAACAATAACAGTAACAAAAAGAGGGGTAATAATGTCTTTTCGCACATGGGCTCGTAATGATTTAGCACATCTTAAGCAAATTGGCACTCACCATGCACGCGCGCATCTTCGCTCTATAAAGTCTTGATTTCCTGTTCATCTTCTTCATTCATTCCTTCTCTCTCTCTAGAAAAACAAAACCCACTTCTCTCTCTCTCCCACCATTTTCCCACTTCACATTCAGACCTTATGGCAGAAATGTATAACTGGGATAAGTCCTTTAGAGAAGGCAAATCACATAACCCTTCATTTTCTTCAACTCTTCTTGACGAAATCTACCGTTCCATCGATGGAGGTGATGAGAAATTTGGTGAATTCAAGCTACGTAGACAGAAACCAAGTGGCGGCGGTGGGAGATCCAAGAGTAGTAGCAGTGCCGTGGAAGATGAAGAAATAGCAAGTTTCCGGCGAGCTGTTTTGGTTGACAAATGGATGGAAACGAAAGTGAACGGCAAAGTCTCCTCAGGTCGCAGAGGTCCGCCGACGTCGTCATTGCCAGAATTTGATCGGAAACTGGCACTTGATAATGATCCATTGTTCTTCAGTTCGGGTTCCAGTTCGTCTGATTCTAGCTTCGGATGGTATTCCGAAGCCGAAGCAGCAGCAAAGCCGAAGCCTTCTTGTTTCGGCCCATTCAACAGGCCGAAACATGTAAAGACGAGGGGTACACCGCATTCTGGTACGAAAAAGCAGAGCGAGTTTTATTTGTTTGATGATGATCAAACAAATAAAACAGACCATGCTGGTCTAATCCGGTCAAAGACCCGAGCTTTGAAGATCTACACAAGCTTGAAGAAAGTAAAGCAGCCGATCTCACCGGGAGGTCGGCTGACGACTTTTCTTAATGCCCTCTTCACAAATGGGCATGCCAAGAAATCGAAAGATTCGGGTCTCGAAGACCAAACACAGACTCGGACCGAAAGAAAATCAAAATCCACAAATGTATCTACATGTTCATCGGCTTCTTCATTTTCAAGATCATGTTTAAGCAAAAATTCCCCACGATCAAGAGAACAACTCAACAACGGAATGCGAAGAACTGTTCGGTTTTATCCGGTGAGTGTAATCGTCGACCAAGATTCTCGTCCCTGCGGTGAAAAAACAATCTGTGATAAACTCCCTCCGACATTCCAGTGTTCGAGAATCGAACAACCAAAATTCAGCGAATTTCCAGCAAAGTATGACGATGAGAAGCATGATTTCAACGATGAATACAATGACGATGAAGACGATGATATGGCAAGTGACTCGAGCTCAGATTTATTTGAGCTCGACCACTTGACCATTTTCAAGAAAGAAGAATATTTTGAGGAGCTTCCTGTTTACGAAACTACTCATTTGGGCACTAATCGTGCCATAGCTAGTGGCTTAATTTGCTAGTTTTGTTCAATAAAATTATTATATTTATACTATTATTGGGTTTTTTTTCACATTATTTACTTAATATTTCAACAATACTATATATGATAAATTAAGCATTACCACTTTTATAGCATGGTCTGATCGTTACTGTTCCGCTCGTTTGGTTTTTGACTGCAAACCTATGGTTATTAGTAAGATTGTGTCCATGGAAGTTCAAATGCAGTTACTCAAGACTACCTATAAAGTTGGTGGTCATCCTGGAATTAGTCGACTCGCATAACGGGTTAAATATCTAAATTAATAAAAAAACAATCCAAATATGAGTTAACATAAAAATCAAGTGTCGAGTTTGAAAGAACTTTTGATACAGAATTACTGTGATTTGGTTTGTAAAAAATATTTTTAATGGATTAAAAATTTGAAAAAACAAAAAGTAAAAGGGGTGAAAGAGACAAGTTCTGATCAAAGGAGATTTGGGGGTTGGGAGTGTTTTTTGGTTTGGTTGATCCCAAGTGCAAGTGCAAGTGCAAGTGGATGAAAGAGACAGCCATAGGGTAAAAAAAAGGTAGAGGGAGTGATTCGTAAAAGGTGAAAAAGGAAGGGGTAAAAATGAAAGATTCTAGAGACAGGGGGTTAAAGTGAAAGGCAAATCTTCCTTCTCTTCTTCTTCCTTCCACTTTTGGGAAAGTGAATGGCTTTTGCTTTCTTCAATGCTCTTCTTCCATATTTTCATCCGTACCACTTTTTTTTTATTTACATAAATCGATAATCATAAATTAATTAATTAATAATTTTTTTAGCTTAAAATATAATATGAGTAAAAATTGATATAATTTTTAAATTTTGTATTTTTTAGATAGAATACTCGATCATAATTCATTAAAGACATGTTATACACATTTTAACTTGGTTTTATTCATATTAATTAATATTGAAAAATTCATTATAAAATATTTTTATACGTTAAAAAAACCCGTAACAATTCAATATTTTTTTTTTCCATCAAGTGGTTTTTAGAATATGTCTTTATAAGTAGTAATGTTTACGACAAATACTAGTTGTAAAATCAAGTGGGCTAATTGAAATCAGGCAACTGGTTAAAACTTGTATAAAATAACACAGTGGATATAAACTCAAATCCAACATCATGCACTCTAGTTAATTATAAGTACTGTTACATTTTAAGATCTAAAATAGAAATAAGATTGATAACAGTAATACATACTATACTCAGGTTGAAAGAATTTTTGTTCTGTCGTTACCTGTATAATCCATAAATACAACAAAAAAGTTATACAAAATTATATAGGATGGGATATTTCATATGATGATCCAGTACTTATATAAATACAGTTCGCAGGCAAAAAAATGTATATATATTTTAAATTTTACTAGTATAGAATTAAAAGATAACAAGATTATCAGTCATCTAATACTTTGATGTCATAGTTAAATACATGCTCCATTGTACAAATACCAAATGAGAAAATTGTTATTTTCGATAAATTAGTTTTCAAAGATTTGGAAAAAAAACATACCTGAAATTTATAAGAAAGACTGATAATTAAACTAAAAACAATTATGATAAATGAAACAAAAAGCCATACTTCAAAGTAGACAAAATAATAAATTAGATATTTAAAATCAAATAATAAAAAAATAAAAGCAAAACAATTTTATGATTAGATGCTTATTATAAATTTAAATAAGAAAAATAAGTAGGATTAGAGTTAATGATTGATATTAATTGAGAAGCATGCAAAGATTGCATTGATTTTATGAAATAATTGAAGTGACCCACACTAAAGAATCTATACTTCTCCCATTATCATATCATTACAACAAATTAATTAATTAATTAAACATATTAACAACAAAATGGTATATATTCTTCAAATTATTATTATTATTATTATTATACATTTTATAATTATATTAACTCATTTGAATCTCGCATAACCATGTTTACAACTGCTTTTGCTAATATTGTTCTGATTTATTATGTTGAAATGTATTATCTGATATTTGGAAAATAAATTCACACTGATAATAACAACGGATTTACATTGTATCAGTATTCACAATCCAAGCTTGTTAACGTTACAACCTACAAGTCGAGACTCAAGACTAAATCTGCTTGACTTGAGCGCCTAATCTTTTAAAAGTTACGTTTAACCAAACATAACGGTAAAAAGAAATTGTGGTGATCATGTTGTATGTGAATATGGTTGAAAAAACAACAAATAATTGAGTATTTCGAGGAAGAATTGAAAAGAGGAAGAAGGGAGATTTGGTGATCCCAAGGTGTGTTTTCATGAGATTGTTTGCAGCTTTAACTTTCACAAATTCACACTAAAAAAAAGTAAAAGCAAGTTGATGATGTTTTGTATCTTCAATCATAAAAAAAATAAAAAGAAAGAAGAAGCAATACAATTTGTATGGGGGTAAACTTGTAATTGAATTGGTCTATGATGTTTAATATTTTACGTATAAATGTTCGGATCGACTTCAGTAAAGAGTACCTCTCAGTTGCTGTTCCTTCCTCGCTTTCTGAAAACGGGAACTTTGATCGGTTGATTTGGGACGAGTTTTACGTAAACCCCATGAATTTATAAAGACTTAAGATGCTAGTATTATAGATTCAATGTATGACTTTGCATATAATTTTATATATCATGTTTGTCTTAAACTGCATCAACAATGTATATTTTCAACACCCAAATTATTTACAAATGTCATAAACTGTCTCTCCTACCGACGTGGCTACTCCAAATCCAATATGGATTTTACCATCAACACTTTATTCAACCTCTCTCGAGCTATGGGGTTCAAAAAAACCGTTGAACCGCTTAAACCGGTCGAACCAAGTAAACCAGATCGTTTTTGGGCGGTTTGAGGGAAGTTAGGTCTGAAAAATAGCCAAATCGCTTGGTCCGATCTGATCTATTTTATTTTACATATTTCATTATGTTTTTATTTTACATATTTCATGTCTACACAAATAAACCAATAACACATGCTTATTTATACCATCATTAATTTACATTTTGTTTTGTTAGATAATGTTTTTTGTGTGCAACGTAAATTGTCAAGTATGATGCTCGAAGCAAAAGATTTTGTATTTGGAAAACCGTTTGAAAGCAAAAACCAAATAACACCCTTAAATGTAATAACTCATTTTATTACTTTGTGTCTTCGTTTGATTCCACACAAATCTAATAGCATCTTTAACAGATTTTTTTATAAAAAATTAAAATAAAAAACCATAAGTTAAAATCTTATAAACAAATTGCATTTATCTCTCAATGATGATCTATTTTAAAGATACCAAAATTAATTTTATTATTAAATAGTCTCTAAAGTTATCATTCCATAATACGAGAAGAGGAATTGAAAAATGATCTTAAATTTCATTCCAAGAAGTAAGCCACTATTTATAGTACAATCAATAAGAAACTGGAAAACAAAATAATGCATAAAAAGTCTATAATGCCCCTTATCAGTAATATAGATGAACCCGGTGAAAAAAGATTTTGAAGGTTCATCTTGGATAAAAAAAAAGAAACTGAAGTTGTGGCCGAGGTAACGGTTTGGTGAGAGCATCTCCCAGTTGATATGCAGACTAAACTGACATCAATCAAACAAAGCTTATTTGCCACTTTTTCCCAGACAAAGTGGTAATCAATGTTGATGTGTTTTGTCCTTTCATGAAACATAGGACTAGAAGCTATTTGCATTGTCAACTTGATCACAAAACAAAAGTATAGACTGAGTGTGGCACTTTAGCAATTGTTTGATCCAAACTAATTCACATGTCACTACCGCCATAGCTAGATATTCGGACTCCGTTGAAGATCTTGATACCGTTGGTTGTTTTTCGATTTCCAAGTTATCAACAACTTCACAAGGATGATACAATACCCTGTCACACTTTTCCTCGAATCCACACACTTACCCCAATCCGAATCTCAATAGGCTTGTAATTGGAGTGATGATTGAGACGAATAGAAAACACCATTTCCTGGTTTTTCTTTCTATATCTCAACTAATGTTTCACTGCTTGCATATGCCCCGTTCTTAGTTGAGAAACAAATTGACAGTTTTTGAACAACAAAACACACATATGTCCTTTGATGGTAAGATACAACAATCTACCAATCATTCTTCTGTATTGAGATGCATCCACAAGCAGATCTCCATCATCCTCGGTCAACACATATCGTGGATCTATCGGTTCTTCGGTGTAACATGCCACCATCTTCAAGTAATTTTAGAGCATACCTTCTTTGAGTCAACAAAATTCCATCTTCAGATATGATGACTTCCAAACCTAAGAAAAATTTCAAATCACCCAAATCTCTGAGTTTAAAAGTATTACTCAAATGCTCCCTTAGTTTGACCAATTCCACATTTAGATGCCCCCGTGATGATTATATCATCAACGTACACCAATAGAGCTATCAAATCTTGTCCATGGCTTTTATGGAATAACGAATAATCAGCCTTCGATTGTAAGAAACTAGTTGACAACATAAAGTTTGAAAACTTTATCTTCCATTGCATTGAGGCTTGCTTGAGCCCATAAATGGACTAGAGAAGTGTGATAACTGGGTTTATCGGTTATAAAATTTGGGAGTTGTTTTTAAAAGTGGAGGGTTTATTTGGTTAATATGTTTAAAATGATTTAAAAACAATTCCACCGCCTCATGAATTATTAAATCAAATTATGAGATAACTTTTATCTCATTGGAAGGTGATTTGAGAAAAGGGAGGAAAGGACTTTTTGTGTGTGTTTTGGAGCCAGAGAAAAGCAGAACCGTAAGGAAAAGTAGAAAGAGGTTGAATTCGGTGATTATTTTCCTGGATAATTCACACCCTGCTAAAGGAAAACACGAGATGTAACAGCTAGCATTTCATAGCACTAAGTAAACAGATAACACCATTACAATTTTTACAATTTTACAATCCATAACCTAAACTGCTCTCGTCGGAGACAGTATAACATTTACAAAAATTGG